TTCTTCTCTTCCTTCCTGGAGAGGCTAAGTAAATTGCTTAGGATTACACAGGAATAAAGCTAAGGCCGGGGCCCTTGTTCCCCCAGAGACTCTCGGAAAGTGAGGAAACCTGGCTAACACATGATGGGACCTTTCCAATGGAAATGGATTGCATTTCTAGACCTGCAAATATCCTCAGAGGCGATTTAGTCCAAACCCTTTATTTTACAGATGAGACCCAGGGAGATTTAAATGATTTGCCCACATGTAGTAATAACAGAACTGGGAGATGACGAGCCCAGATTCTCTGAATCCAGAATCAATGCTCTTTCCCCTGTACCATGTGCCTCCCTAAAGAAAGATGGGAAGCCATGTTGGAGCTGCTATCCCCCATCACCCACCCTTGATTTGGGCATAGACTCGGGGATATGCAGTAACCCCTGTTTATTGCCTTCTGAAGGCCCAAATCTGCTGTAAAAAATATCCCTCAATAATTTTCACTTGGATATGTTAATTTTGTTTACGTGCTCTCTCTCTCTTTTCCCTTTTCCTAGTGCAGGAGTTGATTTAGCCCAGAATCATTCATTTGGAGAGACATTTGTTACCAAATGTAGGAAATAAAATGGGAGAATTTTATCAATTTTCCTTTTTTATTTTAAAGGGTAAGCCCTTCAAATATGCTGTTTTGACTGTCTGAAGAATATCACTAATATATACTCCCATGTAAATTCACTCTAGCCCATGTTCCCAGAGCTTTCAGAAATGAAGATAGGCCCCAAATCACAGAATCTCAGAGATCAACTGAGCTAACTGATCCCTCAAAAGGAATTCATTTGACAACAACTAGGTGTAATGGAAAGAGTAATATAGATTTGGAGATAAAAGGCATAGGTCTTAATTATAATAATATTTGTATTTAACATTTAACAATAACAATAGATTTAACGTCTAACATTTATATAGCGCTTACTATGTGCCAGGTACATCGCTAAGTGCTTCACAATTATTATTTTATTTGATCTTTACAACAACCCTGGGAGGTAAATTGTATTATCCCCATTTTACAGATGAGGAAACTGAGGCAAACAGAAGTTAAGTGATTTCCCCAGAGTTACACAGCTAGTTGTACAACAGTTGAGGCTGGATTTTAACTCGGGTCTTCCTGTCTCTGGGCTCAGCACTCTTGTCTACTGTATCACCTAGCTTTCTCACCTCTGCTACTAGCTGTATAAATTGGGCAAGTCACTTAACATACTTGGATCTCATTTTCTCATCTGTAAAACAAAGGAGTTGAACTAGATAATCTCCAAGGTCCATCTCTAAAACCTACTTAGCCATCCAGCCTCCATTTAAAAACCTTCAGTGATGGCTCCTTGAGTCACTTTCGCATAGCTTCACCTTTAAGGATATTTCTAGCAGAGCTGAGACCAAAATGCAGGTCTTCTAACTCTCAGTCCATTGTTATTTTTACCACATCCCACTATTTCCCTTGTTGAAGCAAAAAAAATTAATGCAATTGATTTTCTTTAAAAATTTTTTTTCATGAGTTCAGAAAACAGCAATACTGTTTTAATAATTTAACTCTTTGGAAGTCCTTGTTTTCACATTCATTGAATATGAGGGAATTTGTAGAATTTTTCCCAGCAACTCTTAAATTTAACTTACCTCACCAGCTTCTAGAAACATCGAAAATTGTCTTTGGGGCCAAAATATTTGGACAAAATTTCCTTTGCCTGCACCCAGGAGAATGCTGGAGTAAGCTGGCATCAGCTTAGGAGAGAGAATTGTTAAAATGTTAATGTGAGCATTTCCACCTTGAAAATTAGCAAATGCTACAAAATCAGGACTTCTTTTATTGTTTTGTTGAATGTGTAGTCTTAAGAAACGATGAAGAAAATGCCAATAATGCAGATTAAACTGAAAAGTGTGTCATGCACACATTCCCCCTCCCCCAGAAAGCTATTAGTTAGAGTTTTACCAGCACAACATTGCCTATACTATTTTGAAAGAATCCCTTTCCAGTGCAACTAGGTCATTGGCAACCTCCTTCTCTTCTGTTAAGAAGTCAAGGTCCAGGCCAGTGTAATGCATTTCTTTATATTTGTACTTTAGGGTTATGATTCTATCCTGAAGATGTGAATAAGAATAGTCCATAAAGGTCAATCAGGACAGTAAGTCTTTGCCTACTAGCCTGAGAGTAACGGCCCTAATTCCTTTTAGTCATGTCTTCTTCCCTTGCTCCCAGGGGCTCTTATCTTCTCTATAACTGCTTCTGAGGCATCCTATTCAGCAATGGGTATGGTTCCCTCATGTGACCATAACTTTTGGGAGTATTTCCATCACTGTGGATATCTTTTCATAGATCAAGAATGTTCATGCCTTCATCCTTTCCCATCCTTTCTCTCTGAGTTCCTCTCAGATTATATTAATATCTCTTTATGAGACATGATCCGAGAGAATAAAAGATAATGGCTGGTGAAGTGTCGTTGCCCATTGTAATGAGATCCATTGATGTAGTCCTTTAAAGCCTTTTGAAAAGTCCCTCAGAAGTCTGTTCTAAGCAAGTTTGGGGTGATAGCACATATTTTAATTGAACATTCAATTACCCATAATCATGGGGGAAATTATAATACTCAACAAGATTTCAGGAACAATTTAAAGTAAATGAGAACTTGATTAGAGTTGTTTGGAACTGAAGAACCAGAGTTGGAAGCGGTCAAAGGAAACAGTCCAAGAATTTTAAAGTCTGAATGAGATCTGGAAAAAAGGAAGTTTTGAGCAAGAAAGCTAGGATTGCATTCATTTTAACAAGCAGGTTCACTTTAAAAAAAAAACTTTTGTAACTGTTTAATAAAACAGCTTGAGCCCAATTATGTGGTAATGGTTTATTTTTTTTTTGTCCTGCGGAACAATTATTATTATCATTATTGATTTTTAGAGATAAAAATGCAACAACTCTCAGCAAGGCTCAAGGCTCAGGGATAAGAAACAAAAACATCTAAATATCTATCATCCATTAACCAGACCACATATGTCGATCAGCCCGCATAATCAGGCAAATGTTTGAACAGATGGGTTTCCCACTGTGCCCTAAAAGCCAGGAAACTCACAGAAATACACCCTTCTCTTTAGCCCTCCCCCCAACCCTTGTCCTCATCCATTCCTATTTTCTCATTTGATCAAGGGACTCAAAAAGCAGGTGCTGAGGCCTGTCCAATACAAGTGAGTGGGTTGACTATTCACAAGTGTCAATTATCAAATACTCCATTAGACTTAGTGGCTTCATGGAGGTTGAAGGACTGGGGAAGATTTGAAGATTGGAATACACCAAACCTCCATGCTCTTTTATATCTTACACTTAGCAAAAACTCAATGACCTCAAAGGCTGGGCCAGAATGGCTATAAAAAATGCTCTCCCCATTACTCAACCTCAGGCCCCCCAGACCAGGCTTTCATCATTCCCTACACACAGCAGAAATGTTCCCATCCCTGACTTTGTTCATGCTCCTGCCATTGCCTAGAAATCCTTCCCCTATGTTTTATACCTACTGAAATCCTATCTGTCCTTCAAGCTCCACCTGAAACTCTACTTTCTCCATGAAGCCTTCTTTTGCTAATCCAGTGCCATAGACTTCTTCCTTCTCTGAGCTCCCTTAGCAAATACAATCAGTAACACTTATTTGGGAGCTGTCTTATATTTTTATTGTGCTGTTTATTTCATTCCTTCCTCCTTCTTTTATGTGTCTGTTGCATATCCCCTGTGAGAATTAGAGTACCTTGAGAGATAGAACTAGATCTTTATGTCATCCGCAGTACCTAACAGTGATTAGTCCCTAGCAGGTGCCTAATAAAATCTTGTGGGATTGAGGGCTATTGGGTAAGAATAATGAAATCACTTTGAATGGCTTTTTGGACTTCTAGAGAAATAGTCCCAATGTTTCTACTACTACTATTTCTATTATAACATCCTCAATTCCTCTCCTATTCCAGTCCTATAAAAGGGTCAGCAATGCAGCCTCTGATGCTTTTCATTGGTCGTTTTCTAAAAAGGAGCCTCAATTTGCTTGTTCCACCCAACCTCCAATGAAGAAACTTCAAGAGTAGACATTTTGCTTCCCCTAACCCTCCCTCTGTGGGAAAACAGGCTAATTAATGCTCTGTGGCTTCTTTGAACCTCTCCATCATGCTTTCCTTCCCCAGGAGGCTCGTCATTGGGAAATTTCTTTGTTCTGCAAGACTAAATCTTCCTCTGTACTCATACATATATCATCAGCACCTTCTGCCCTTCTGACTGAACCCTCTGACTAGAGGGCAAGGTCATGGGTTCTTGGGCCTCCATTTAAGGAAAGGGCTCAGCACAGTCCTCCTCATTTATCACCAACTACACTATTTTTGGACTTCTTTGCAACCCCTCTCCCTTCCTTCCACCTTCCCCTGTGCCCTCTCCCCTCCCCCCTTTTCACCTTCCTTTTTGTATTGTCTGCCCTTATTAGATTGTAAGCTCCTTAAGGGGAAGGATCATTTTGTTTTAATTTGCATTTGTATCCCCAGCATCTTAGCCTGGCACAAGTAGGTGCTTAGTAAACGTTTATTGACTGACTTGTGAGTAGAATTGTGAATTGATCCAGCCATTCTAGGAAGCAGTTTTGAACTAGGCCCCAAAAGCTATTAAATTATGAATTCCCTTTGACCTAGCAGTACCACTTCTAGGTCTATGCCCCAGAAAGACAGAAGAAGAAGAGAAGGACCCATATGTTAAAAAAAAAATACTGCTGTTTGTAGTAACAGTTTTATTTGTGGTGGAAAACTAAGGGAGTGCCCACCAATTGGGGAATGGCTGAACAAGTCATGGTATGTGAATCTAATGTAGTACTGTTGTGCTGTAAGAAATGACGAAGGGAATGGAAACCAGGGAAGACTTGTATGAACTAATTTCTGAGTTTATACTCTGCAGAATCAGAGATAGAATGAGGAGCATGATGTATACCAGGACAATATTTGAAAGACAATCAACTTTGCAGGTCTTAAGAATCTCAATCAATACAAATGATGAACTACGATTCCAGAGGACTCATGATGTAATGGGCAACTCACCTCCTGATAGACAGGTAATGGACTCAGAGTGCAAATGAGACATACTTTTGGATACTGCCAATATGGAAATTTGTTTTACTTGACCATGGATTTTATTTTTCTTGATTTCCCAATGGGAGAGGGGATAAGGAAAGCAAGAGAGAAGGTAGATCTTAATTTGAAATTTAAAAAAAATAATTTAAAAATTAATATTAGGAAATGGTAGTCCCCTAACTTTGGATTCATGAAAGAGTCCCCTATTCATGAAGAGATTCACTATTTAATTTTTCTGTTTAACCTTGTTCTCAGAGTTTCCAAACTCCAGAAAGTATCTTCCTAACCCCCAGAAAAGGGAATTGGAGTCTAGCAAAAGAAAGTAACTTATAGAAAGTACAATTGAGGAGGTGATTCTGGAAATCCAAAGTGTCATTCCATCTTTACTTTCCCTATTACAGCCTAGGCTTTATTGAAAGTCTTTGATGCTTTCCCATGAGTCTTCCCAGTGCTCCTACGGAAGGCTCTTTCCACAGGACATTCAAATGTGAGTAGAGATCAAGGTAAGTGGTCACACTGTTCTGAGTTTCAAAGTTGGCCCTAAGTGAATCAATGTCTTCAGAGAAGTTATTTCCCTAGCTCATTTTGAGAGGTGTTATTATTGGATGGTGTCTGAGAAGGGACCTTTTAGATGAGAGTCACAAGATTAAGCTTGCCTCTTCTGATACAAACCATTTGGCTTCAAGAAAATCAGTTATCCCTACAGTTAAGCCTTATCTTCATCTGACCAGATCTGCCCAGTGATCACCCCAACCCCTACATGAGACAGGGAAGGTCCAGTTAAGTCTATAGCTACATTAATAGAATCTATGTAGGAACAATGCCGGGGGGGTTTCCTAAGGGAGACGGGGGGGGGGGGAGAGACCTGAGGTAGAAAAAAGAAGATTTATCCTTTGTCAGGATGATAGAGGATAGAAGACAGAGGTGGAGGGGAATGAAAAGGGCAGTACTGCAATCACAGCTTAACAACAGAATTGAGGCATTTCCTGGTGAGAAGAAAACTGGTTGCTCAAAAGAGGAAAATAGGAGGAAGTTTGTCCTCCCAATAATGAGATAGCAGAGCCATGGAAGATGTCAGTAAGAGTTAATCTAATAGGGTCAGAGAAGGAAGAAAAGAGTAGAAGCAGTTCCTTGATCAGCCATAGTGAGAAGGCAATTCATCAACCTGATTGTTCTGGGGCATGCATCTATAGCAGAGAACTTCCCAAGATTTATCAAAATGGTTGACAACTACTCATTTCTGATGATTCATGACACTTCCATAAGAACTTAAGAAAGTATTATCAATGATTATTAAATCTTAGGCAAGAAACTAAAGACCATGGGAGCATAGGTTGTGTTTTCCTTACTGTCATCCACAGAGGGTAAGGGGTGCAGAAGGAAAAAAATAATAATTTGGGAAGTGAATAGCTGACTAAGAAAATGATGTCTGAGAATGAAATTTAGTTTTCTAGATCACAGTTCACAATATAGGGATGGCAGATTTCTGGCTAGAGATGAAGCATACCTAGCAAATGCTAGTAAGGAGAGGAAATCTCTGTATAGTCTTATGTACACCCTAGTTTTAGAGAAAGTAGTTTTCACAGGGTTTAGAGGAAAGATAGGTAGGGTCATCTGGAGTAAAATATAAAATACTTCAGAAGTAAACCAAGCAGAATGGGAAATACACAAGAATAAAATCCTGAAAAGGTAAAAGTAAGACAATTCCTATGAAGACAAAAAAAATGATATTTTTCCAAAGAGACCAATGTGGTTGCTCGAGAAATTTGCCAACTTAGATTTTAAAAAGAAATGTACATTAGATGGAAGCAAGAGCAGGTAACAGAGGATGAACTTAAATGTGTGACATGGTCCTATAAAAAGTGTCTGGTAATCAAAACTCCAAATGTATTAAGGCTAGCAAGGGAATCTAAGGACACCACAAAGGAATGCTTAATTTTTTCAAAGCCATATTTGGAGAAAAGGGAGGATTAAAGAAAGAATAGGCCCTTTGTTTGGGAATGGATAGGACAATGATAACTGGCAACAGAGAGGAGACAGAGCTGCTAAATTTGAGTTTTGCTTCTCTTTTCTCTGCAATAGAGAGTTGCCTATAGATTGTAATGACAGAACAAAAGTGACTAACAAAAATGACTAACAAGATGATTAAGGAGATAAAAAAGCACCTTGTTCCCCTTCACAAATTTAAGTCACTTAGCCCAGATGAACTGCATCCTTAGATACCAAAAGAACTTGCTGCTGTGATTGATTTCTGAGCCACGATCAATTGATATCTGGGAGATTACAGGAAATAGACAAGGTACCTGGAGATTGAAGAAGGACAAAGGTCCCAATTTTTAAGAAAGTGGAGAGAACAAAATATGCAAATTCTATTCCTGGGGAAATTCTAGAATGGATCATTAAAGAAATGGTTGGCATGTATATAGAAAGAGAAGCAATGATTACAAAGAGCTATGATGACTCATCAAGAACAAGTCATGCTGGACTAACTTCATTCCCACCCACCCACCCTTTGAAAAAAAAAACAGGATTAATTGACTGGCAGATGAAAGGAATTCTGTAGATATACGTTTCTTAGATTTTTAGCAAAGCTTTTGATAAAGAATCTTGGACTATCTGTGTGGAGAAGAGGGGCATATTTAGATTAGAAAATAATATACTCAGATAGATTCAAAACTGCTAAATTCAAAGTGTTCTTGTTAGTGGTTCAAAGTCAATATAGCAGTAATTCTGGGAGTGGAACATCCCAAAGATCTGTGCTGGCCCTGTGGGGCTTAACATTTTTATCAGTGATTTAGATATCAGTTGAAGGAACTGGAGATGTTTAACCTAGAGAAGAGAAAATTTTAGGTAGGTAGGGATGGTAGTAGGGAGGGATGTAGCATGATAACTGTATTTAAGCATTTGAAGGGCTATCATATGGGGGTAAGGATTAAACTTTTTCACTTTGGCTTCAGTAGAACTAGGAGCAATAGAAGCTGAAAAGAGGCTAATTTTGCCTTGATACTGGATGGAGGAGATCCTAACAATTAGAGTTGTGTAAAAATGGAATGGGTCACTTCAAGAGCTGGAATACTCCCCTTCCTGGAAGGTCTTCAAGCAGAAGTTGGACAATCACTTGTTAAGTATGTTGTAGTAGGGGAGGGGAGGAAGGGGTTCTTTCATGAATGGGTGTCAGTAAGAAATGCCACTGACTTTCCCACCCATGGCCTGGTTTTCTGCTTGCACAAAAGTTTATTGGTGAATCTTTGAACTGGCTTTTGAATGCTAAAATATCTAGACGAATTTTTTAAAAATACAATATCATTTGTCTTTCTAATGCCAAATAAGTGGAGTTTTTCATATGTTTAGAACCATTCAGATAGTCAGGATAAGTTAGATACAGTCATGAACCAAAGGGGTTGAGATCTTGACACAGGAAGTAGGAGTATATCCAATGCGTCCAAAGCAATTTCTGTCTATGCACCAAGGTAGTTATCGTGAAAGATGTAAATTAGTCAATAGCTTTGGTCCAGAAGGATGGAAGAGGCTAAAGTCTTTCAGGTCACTGGGGTCATTACTTAGTACAAAAACTAGATACTAAATGCTGTTTTCTTCATTCCCCAGCTGCTACCATGACTAGAGAGTTAATACTGGGTCACTGATAAACATTTATTCTACAAACTGAGATTTTAAAACATTGAACCTAATGGGGAAAAGGGATAAAAATATAAAAGGACAGGTTGGTAGATTTGCTTACTCTGCTACCATACCATTGATTGCATCCAGTGTCAGTCAGGGTTGCTCTTGGGAGGAGAGGGCTAGAGAAGTAATTGCCTTTTAGAAAAGAAAATATGTATTGTTCTTCACCTGCTCTCTCACTGGAAAAATCCAAAATACATGAAAAAAGCATCTACAGTGAAAAAGACCCTGAATTATTGTCCACACTAAATTGATAAGAGGGGAGTGAAGGCATATAGCTCAGCTGCTGTGAGAAAAACAAGAGCATGGAGTTGTGGTGGGGTGAGACTGACAGCATGGCTAACATTGTTGGAAAAAGAGCCTGAAGTTCAAGGCTAGCACTTGCAAGAAGCCAAAGCCAGATCCCAAAGATTTCAGTGTAACCATGGGAACAATGAAATGATGAGAAAGCAGGTTCTATTTTTGATCAGTACCATGAAAACAATAATTTTGGAGCCATCAGAGAGCTAGCCAAAGTCAATACTTGGCTCTGACTCTCATTTCTATTTTACTCTGAGTCCAATGGGTTGGATTGATTGAAGGTAGATAATTTTTTCATAACACCAGTTTAAGAGTTTAGGGGTAAAAAACAGAATTGCTATTTGAATTGACTTTCAAGGCCATTTTCATACTTAAGGACTGCATGACTCTTGGTGCTACAGCCCCTTAGTCTCACTGTGGTCTCAGTTTAAATCTTAGTCCAAGTCCATAAATAGGGTTGCCCTAAACTAGGCAGTATGATTTGAGAGCCATCTAAAAGGTTGCCTAAATAGTTCTACCAGCATTGCATTGGTTTATGTCTAAAAATCCCACCCATTACAACCACCCTGGGGGTAAAGGCATTGAAGGCTCCCATTAAAATGTTAATGTATTACCTGGGAGGGTCCTTCAATACCACATGGGATCCATGATTTTATTGATTTGGGTATTTTGTCCAATGGCTCATATTAGACCCCATCTATACCTTCTCATCCTGTGAGATTCTTATCAATGTTTTCCCACTAATCCTCCATGAAGTAAGATGCATCCAAGTCTGATGGTCTTCCTCTATGCCTAGTACCCATTATGGGCACTAGCCCACCTATTATTCCTTGCTCTTAATAAATGGCAAGTCCATCTCCTGTTTTTTTGTTTTGTTTTTTTTTTTTGGCAATTGGAGTTAAGTGACTTGCCCAGGGTCACACAGCTAGTAAATGTCAAATGTTTGGTCTGAGGCTGGATTTGAATTCAGGTCTTCCTGACTTCAGGGCAGGTGTGCTATCCACTTTGCCACCTTCCATCTCCTGTGCTAAACATATATTTTATGACTTTACACATGCAAATAATCTTTGACAATATGTTATAGACTATTTATTTTAGACATTGAGGTTGTTTACTGAATAGAGTGCTGGACCTGGAGTCAAGAAGACCTGAGTTCAAATTCAGCCCTGGTCAAAGCACTTAATCTCTGTCTGTTTCAGTTTTCTCATCTGTAAAATAGGGACAACAATAGCTACTACCCGGGGTTATTGTGAGGTTCAAATGAGATAATCTGTGTAAAGTGCTTTGCAAACCTTAAAGTTTTATGTAAGTGCTAGCTATGATTGTTGTTAGTAATGCTCGCATTATATTCTCATTTTTTACTCTCATATGTATTTATGTACATTTCCATTGCTTTTTGGATTAGCTGTAATTTTGATTTTTCAGATTTTGAGCTTCCATGATTTCTATCTATATAATACCATTGGAAGAATATTGATGTTAAAAAAATATTTTTCTCTAGG